TCATTTTTTTTTTCAAACGTTATTATACGTTAAGAGGATCGAAACAAACCGGAAATACGTCATCCATCGATTCACCGGCACAAATAATTCGCGTGTTTTAAATCATTCGAATGCCATTAACAAAACAAAAAAAAAAAATGGCGGCATCCATTATTTAAAATTTAAATAATAATAATAATATTAAAATGGTTCAGTTTTAAATAAATAAATTTAATACTTTCTCTTTTCTTAAAATTAAATGGAGAAAGCAAACAAATTATTTAAAAAAAAAAAAATTTTAAAGTTTATTTTCATCGATGATGATGATGATGATGATGATGACTAAGATGGATGAATAGATAGATGGATAGATAGATAGATAAATAGATGGATAAATAGATGGATAGATAAGAGTAAAAAAAATAAAAATTGAAAGGAAGAGAGGGGAAAAAAAAATTTTATGTTAATATCGTTGACCTTTAAACTTTTTTAATAACTTTGATAAATAATATAAATAAGGGGGAAAGGAGTAAGGGGGTTAAGACGTTTAAAATTGTAACGAAACCTCCTTTCCCCCTCCAACCCTCCCCCAACAAAATGAGTAGAAAAAAAAACTGTTTTGAAAACTTCGTAAAAAAAAAAGTTTTTCTCGTCACGTTTTTTAATTTTCATTTTTTTTTTTTTTTAAATATAATAAATGACGATTTTAATAATAATAATAATGATGATGATGATGATAATAATAATAATCGAAAATTTTCTCCGAAAAAACCCGTAAAACTATTTTAAAAACCCACATTTTGTTTGTCTTTATTAGGAAAAAGAATCCTCACGTTTCTTATTATTATTTTTTATTTTATTTCTCTTCTGGAAAGATTTAAAAAGTTGCACGCGCACATCCACACTCACAATTCCTCTTATTATTATTATAATCAATATGGAAAACGAAGATAAGACGTGTAGAAGGAACAATGAGAGAGGATAATAAAAAAAAAAATGAATTTAAAAAACGTTTTACGTAGTCAGCTTAGTTAGTCGTTAGACAAAGGGTCAATCACGAATTCGACATTGAAATACGAATAATCACAGTAACAACAACAACCAAAACAACAACAACAACGACAAACGCGAATTTACGAACGTAAGAATATCATCAACACAAAAAAAAAATAAGGAAAATTTTTTTTCCACAAAAATTCAACCTTCGTCGGGTGCGCGGGTCCCCCCAACCCCGGCTTATCCGAGAAGGTAACAAAAGTGAAACACAATGAAAAACATAAATCGGCCTATATAAAAATCAATAAAAACAAACGAAAGTCGTCGTGGTTGTTGTCGTCGTCGTCGTCGTCCTTGTCGACGACAACAAACAACCGAAATGTAAAAAGGCAAAAAAAATTTGTAATAATAAAAACAAAAAAAAAATTTCTAGGGCATCGTTCCAATGTCGAGGTCGAGGAATATTAAAACAACTTTATTTAAACGATGGTGGCGATGGTGGTGGTGGTGGTGGTGGGGGCGATGGCGATGGCGAGGAAGATGGCGACGACGTTGGCGGTAGTGACGGCGCCATTTTAATGCGACTTTCCATGCGACAATTCGTTAAAATTTCCCTTCCCCAAAACTTTTTCTTCTTCTTTTTTTTTTCTCATTTCACGTTGACGTAAGCAATCGTCCCACAATAATAAAAATTAAATTTCGAATCGTAATAATAATAATAATAATAATAATGACTAAGAAATGGATCGTAAAGTAAAAAACGATTTTAATCGATTTAATTTCGTCACTTCCGCTGTCAATAAAAAAAAAAAAAATCAAACAACTTTTCTTTTTATATTCGTTTCATTTCCGTTACGTAACATCATCGCTTATTAAATACACGGCGAAATATTAAAAAAGAGAAAACAAAAAAAAATCGTCGTGGAATTAGAAAAAGGAAAGAAAAGAACAGAACAGAGAAAAATAATTTTTTTCAGGCCGTTTCGAAGAATAAATGTTGTAGAATTTAAGTAAATAATAAAACTTGCGACTACACGTTTCACGTCATTGAAACTAACAAACAATAATAATAATAATAATTGCATTGTCAAAGACAGAAGCGAATTAAGGATTTCGCAGTATCGATGATCGACGTTTAAGGTTTTTTTTTTTTTGCTTATCACCGACCGATTTCCTCCTCCTCCTGATTTTTTTTTAACAAGACAATGAAAGACGAGGTGGAAATGATAAAATTGCAACAGGATGGTAGGGGGAGAGGGGGGGCAACCTTGAATGATTTTTTATTGCAGACGATACCGAATAGTAATAAAAATAATAAACAAAAGGACGGTGAGAATTTAAAAAACAAAAAAACGTTAAAGGTCTCCAGCCTGGAGTAAAATTGAGGTCAATTTTTTGTCCTTTTTTTGTTTTGTTTTTCGATAACGTTTACGATATTTGGGAAATTTTTTTTTCTTATCGATAAGAAGGTTTGTTGTTGTTGTTGCTATAAAAAAAATCACTGGAGAATTCCAGATTTGACCTCTTGCGTAAAAATATAAAAAAATGATAAATATTTTGACGTTTCGTAATTTATTACTTTTCTTCATTACCCGTTAAAAAAATTTAACTCCTCCTCCCCTCGTCCTTTACCATCATCATCATCATCATCATTATCGTCATCATCATCGTCATCGTCATCGTCATCGTTACATAAATCACCGTAAAAGAAAACACACAATGACGTCATAGATTTTCGTTAATAACTCAAATAACGACGTCGAAAAATTTTTAATTTTTTGTTCTCTCTCTCTCTCTCTCTCAAATTCGACGTGATGATCATAATAATAACATCGATACCGACAACAACAACAAACACAACGAAGGACAAAAAACAAATTTGCGGTTGTTTGCTGGAGTTTACCGTTAATCCTCCGTCGTAAATAATTTCAGGCACATCAACTCCTATTACATGAAAAAATTTTTTTTTAAAAAAATTACCCGGAGGGTAAGCAAGGCAGGTACGTAGGTAGGTAGGTAGGTAGACGGGTAGGCGGTCTATCAGTCGGATTCGCAAAAAAAATTTTCGAAATATTTTATAATCGTCGCAAAAAAAAAAAAAAAAAAAAATTTCTCCAGCTGGAATAACAAAATAAAATGAAAACAATTAAAGGGAAGCGTGAACGACCTTTTAAACGCGATCGAAAGTTCTTTCGCGTGTTCATGAAAAACAAAAAAAAATTTTTTTCACTCTATCGTCGTCGTATTTTCTCTATTATTATTAATATTATTATTTTCCCCAACATTTCAAAATATAATTCTCATAGATTATTGACACTTTATTATTCTAAAACCACTTTATCAAAACGTACGTTCGTTCTTTATCAATTCAATATAAAAACAATATCGAATCATATTTTTTTAAAAAAAAACAAACGACGAATTAATAATAATAAAAGGCACGTGGCGTTAGAAAACAACTCGGGTAAAAAAATAATAAAAACGTAAACAAAAATATTTAAAAACATGTACACCACACACTCACCTTCCCGAATATTTTTCTCCAGGGATTTCCAGAATAAGGTACGTCGACGATAAATAAATAAAAAAAAAAAACAAAAACGACAACCAAACCAAACCAGGTATCTCTTCTATCTATCCCACGATAATATTTTTACACTAAATTATTATTATTAATAACAAATAAATAAATAAAATTTTAAATTAATAATATTAATGATAATAATAATAATAATTCGGTAGTATAAAATTATTTAAAAAAAAAAAAACAACGACGTTATAAAATAAACTCGCGATTTAAAACAAATTTTTTTTTCTTTTAACGATACGAATACAATAAAAATAATCAATCGATTATTTATTAATAATATTTTTTTTTGGGTAAATGTAACAACAAACAACAAACGAACCGAACAAACGCACAAACAACGAATACGAATAAAAAAATTTTGTTTTATTATTATTAACTCAATGAAACTTCGCACGCCACTGCGCGAAATGAAAACATTCCGATGATCTACAACGGCATGACTCTCTCTCTCTCTCTCTCTCTCTCTCCCTTGTTTTGATTTGAAAAAAAAAATCCTTCTTTTTATGTATTATTCGTTTGAAATATTTTTTTTTTAATTCCACACACGACGTTTTAGTTAGTTACGTTTTGTTTTTTTTTAACACAACACACAACAACACGCATTATGTTTTCAATTTGGTTAATACAAATAGTTTATAAACAAGTTTTTTTTTTTTTTTTTTTATACGCTTTGTTGATTATGTAGAATGAGAAACGACGATGAAAAAAAAAAAAACAGACGTGTACCGAGAAGTTCGTACCTAAATAAAAAATTAATACCCGTACTACTAAAACTATCATCATCATCATCATCATTTTTTTTTCTGTTGTAAACATTTTGTGTTTTTTTTTAATAAAGGGGGAGTATGTTTTTGTTTTTTCGGAGAGGGGAGTCTGATATTTGTATCTCTCGAGTTTTAAAATGATTTATACATTTAAAAATAATTTTAATGTTAAAAAAAAATTTCGAAAAGGTTATCATCAACAAACGAAACAAACCAAAACAAAAACAAACATCAAATTAATTGCTAATATCGAAAAAAAATTATTTTTATTTTTTTTTTTTAATATGCAAATTGTCATGCGTTTAAGTATAACAATTTGCCTAATTTAAAAAAAACAGGCGTAATTATTTTAGTATGTAAAAAAAGTTGAATTTTTATTAAACAGATGAAAATTTTCAATGTTTTTTTTTAAAATGCTGTCGTTGAATTTATGCTTTTTGTTTTATTAAACAACTTAGTAGGTTAATAAAACATAATCGTCAATGTTTAAATAAGGAACGTTCCATTTTATGTTTTTGACCTCATTACAACCGTCGCGATGACAATTTTTTTTTTAACAAAGGTAAATTCCATTCGATCAAGTCATCGCATCGCATTTCGATTTTTTGTTTTGGTCGATGAAATGATGACGTCATCAAATTCAACGCGAAAATGTTTAATTAAACGTTTATTCACAAATTAGACATGATATCATTTATCATATAATCGTAAAGTTCTTTCTTAACATTTTTCGACAGTACGAAATCCAAATGTGAAAATTTCGGATAATCTACCAGAAAAGTATTTTTTACGCTTGTCATTTGTTTCACCAACCTTTTAACATCAGGTATGGTCGACAGCAAATCGTTTTTACCCAAATATAAATACGTTGGAGCCGTTATGTTTTTCAAATTGTAATCCGGTGGTTTAACCGAACCGTATTGAATGAAATTTTTTAATTTACCATAATCGTACTGACGAAATTTTCCTACCACGTAAAAAAAAACCAAATGATAATAATAATAATGCTGATGAAGGTACATTTAAAAAAAAAAAAAAAACTCACCGGATTGAACGAGTTGAGCGTAATGATTAACACCCTTAACGGAATAACCACCGGAAAAATGATTTAAAAGCACGTCTAAAACCGCCTGAAAACATTCAATCAATCAATCAATCATTCAATTGTTTCATATAAAACTTCTAATCATACCTGATCGTATTCACGTGGATCGCTTCCGACCAATAAATAAATAACGCTTAAACATAATCGAACTTCTATTTTCAAAGGTTCGCAAATGATTTTTCCAAGTCTCGTCAACCATCCTCCATGCGATATAAATTCTCCATCGCCAAAAAGTTTCGATATGATCTGAAAACATAACGATTCGAATTAGATACAAACACTAAAAAATAATAATAATAATGATGATGATAATGATAACAACCATAAATTCTTTTGATAAAGGGGCTAAAAAACGTAGTAATAAACTTTTGACGTTTTTCATGTAAGCGATCGGAGCCATTAATTGCGCGACTTGAATTTTTTTATTATATTCCGGTTTTTCCGACATTAAAACAAAATACATGGTCGTGCCCATGGAATGTCCGACGTAAATTAATTTTTTTTCATTTGTTTTCTGGAGAACGAAATCGATTTGGGATGAAATATCGTAAACGCCGCATTCGTGCCAACTGAAAGAAAAGGAAGAAAAAAAATGGAGCATGTTATACAAACGATTAATAAATTTTTTTTCTTGCTTGCTTACGTATAATCCCAAAATTCGTATTCGTCCGGTTTTAATTTAACGTTCGCTCTGGAATAAATGTTACCCCGAACGTTACCCAACCACACGTCGAATCCCAAATCTGCTAAAATAAAAGCTGGAGAACAAAAAAAAAAATCATGAAAATGAATATAACGAATTTTCGACCAAAACATTCATACTAACCCAAAGAATTGTTTGGAACGGTCAAAAGAAAAAATTCAGAACTGCAAAAAAGTCCGTGCTGGAGAAAAACTGGAGGTTTTTTCCCCTCATCCCCCATCGTTTTATTTTTACCGTGTGGTATCCTGTGCATTTCTATCAAATAACCATCTTCTGTTTCTATCATGTGCGCTTCTGCCGGGTATCCATATTTTTTTATTATTTGCAACTGATAACAAAAAATTTATTATCATCATCGCGAGAGAATTTTCACAAGTAAAAACAAACAAAAAACACGACGGGAAAATTTTTTTTTTTTTTTTGTCGAATAAATTTGTATAATACAAACCGTATTTAAATATTCATTCGGTGATTGGTTGTATTTTTGTACCGTTTGTCCGACAACAATTAAAAAATTAAATAAAAAAAAAAATTTTATAACAAACGAATTATGGCACTTTTCGTCCATCATTTTATGATGAACAAAATCAACAACAACAACAAAAATTAATACGAACAAACTATTTAAATAAAAACAAACGATTCGTTCAAGGATTAATATGGAGAATAATAAACTTTGGACCGTCGACAACGACAACCACAACCGCGACAACAATGGCGATTAATATTGTGTCACTTTATCCAATATGATTCAATGTCATCATCATCATCATCGGTATGCCATTCATTAGGTGATAGCGACCACAAATTTTTCTGTTGTTCCCTTAAAAATAATCTGGAATTGTTATGAAATAATCAAAAATAATAATAATAATATATTTTCTGGAGTTAAAACGACGTGAAATTTTCTTTTACATTTACAACATCGTGGGCAGTTGTGATAACGAATATTGATAACAAAATCTCATTACTTCCTTTTAGTTTGTCTACTATCGAACGCAACAAACGAATGCGGGGGGGGGGGGTGAGAGGGAAAAACAAACAAACAAAAAATTATTTTTCATCCAGGAAGATTGAAAAAAAAATAAATAAATAAATAAAAAATTTTTTTTCTCCTTCCCGAAATCGGATTTTTTATTTAAACCTTTTAGGTCCGCCATTTTGTTTTTTTTTTTTTTCAATAACAAAGGTTTAATTGGATTGACCTTAATTAATAATCGATAAAGTCATTTTGGTTAAAAAAAAGTTTTGGAAAGGTTTCGCAAAAAAAAAAACAACCGAACATACGCCATGATGTAACCGACCGCTCCGTCACGCCCACTTCCTCCTCCTCCTTCTCCCTTCCTCCTTTCCCTCTTCCCTCCTACTCCTCCTACTGCTCCCCTCCCCTCCCCTTATCAAAAAAATTTCAAAAACTCTTCAAAAAACCACTTTAAAAAAAAGGGATCAGGTGTTAGAGTGACCTTGAAATCTTTAAAATCTTGTGATAAACGTTATCAACAGCTTTGTATAAAAAAAATTGATATAATTTAAAAAATAAATAAATAATATCTTTTTTTAATTAATTAATAATAATAATAATAATAATAATAATAATAATAATAATAATAATAATTAAAAACATTTTATTTACATCAAAAAAAAATTAATAGTAATAATAATAAATTTTTGGAGTCTTATCAGTCATTCTCTGAAGGGTTCAGCCTTTTACGTTTAACATTCGTAACTGGAATAATGTTTATCCAAAACGGATAAACTGGAATTTTTTTTTTTCATTATTTACGGATACTTGTTGAGAATTTCTACAACTTTATCATAGAGTAAAAATTTAGCATCTATGGCGTAAATAAAATCCAAATGATTAAATTTCGAGTATGGTACTTTGTATACGTTAATTATGTTTGGAAGCTGCGACTCCAGCTGTTTGACGTCTTTTATAGATGCCAACCAATCGTTTGTAGCGTAATATAAAGCTATGGGAACGTTAATGGAGCTCACGTTGTAATCCGGTGGAAATATTGAATCGTATATTTTTAAATTTTCAAATAAACCGTAATCGTAATGTCTGAACTTTCCTGAAAATTCCAGAAAAAAAAAATTATAATAATCGAAATAAGGCAAAAAATTTACACGTCCGATGCTTATAATATTTACCGCTGGAAATCCCTTGTGCGTAATGAATTAATTGTTTCGTACTTGCTCCAGCAGGTACGTGACCTAGGACGGCCGGTAAAATCGTCTGAAACGTTTTTCATTATCATTATCATCATCATTATTATTATAAATGGATTGAAATGAATTTTTTTTTATTTACCCTGTTGAGTTGTGGTTCGTCGAAACCGCACAACAAAAAGAAAACGTTGGCGCAAACATTTTGTAGACTTGGAAATTTATCGTGGCACATGGTACGTCCGATTTCGTTTAAAAATTCCGATTGCGGAAGGAATTCGTGCATACCGACGAGTTCTGCCACGATCTTTTACCGGAAACAGAAAAATTTGTGGTTAGTCGTCGTGCCCGGGAGGGAGGGGGTTGGATTGGGGGCTAGTAAAATTACCTCCGTTGCTTTGTAAAAAATTGTCATGGCTTTTATAAACGGACTCGCTAAATTTTTCATGTAAGCAACCGGTGACAACGCGTGCATGGTGGCAATTTTTTTATGATATTCCGGATATAAAGCACCGAAAACGAAAAATTGTGTCGTGCCCTGAGAATGACCGATGTAATGTAAACTCTTCTGCTGCGTTTTTTCCAAAATAAAATCTATCAAAGCGGGTAAATCGTATTTTCCCATTTCGTGCCACGTGAATTTCCAAAACGTCGCATTTGTCGGTTTTAAACTTTGATGACGTCTCGATAAACTATTGCCACGATTGTTACCCAACCAAACATCGAAACAATTATCGGCCAAAATATATCCTGTCGGTTAAAAAAAAATTTTTTTTTAATTCTTCCGGTTAAATGAAAAAATATTTGACGGGGTGGGGGATGGGGGGGTTCGAACGTACCCAAAGCTTTTTTAGGTCCGGTTATGAGAAAATCAAAAGCGCTGCTTAAAAGACCGTGTTGTAAAAGTACCGGTCTTTTCAACATCAATTGCCTACAATTTTTACCATACGGTATTCTATAAAGTGTTAATAAATAACCATCTTCGGTTGTCGTGGTGTACGTTTCGACCGGATATCCATATTTTGTAACCAGTTCCGGCTTGAAAAAACAAATGATAATAATAATAATAAATTTTACAAATACGAATTTTTTTAAAAACAAATTTTAAACGTAAAAAAAAAAAAATTACCACTTCGAGATCGGAATCTTCTAATATCGATTTATCCGTACCGAATTCGCTGTCGGATTTTACCGGAAACCGACATAAAAATAAAAAAAAAATTAATAATAATAAATTTAACGCTCTTATCATCATTATTAATGTAATAATCACATTTGATATTTGATTAACGATCGATTTTTCATTACTGAAGCGATAAATATATTTTTATATATATATACACATCAGTTTTCTTTTATCAATTTGATAACAATCGAGTGTTTCGTGAGATGCGATTTGTTCTCACCTCCCCCTACTCCTCCTCCTCTTTTCCCTCCACCTTCTCCTCCTTCCCCCCATCTGAAAAATTTAAAATTTACCGAAAAGTGTCATCTTTTCATGTTTTATCTTATAAATTTTTTTTTCTTTTGTATAAAAAAATCTGATTTGATTAGTCACGTGATATTATTCAAAAAAATCGGCAGTATTGATAAGAGATAACGTTTTAGGCGAATAACGATTGATTTAAACGAAAGATGGAGGTAAAAATAAAATTCAATTTTTTTTTTGCAATTTTAAATAACTTTAAAATTTTTTCTTCCTCTTCCTCTTCCTCCCCACCCCCACAATTTATTTAATTACGAATTTTAAAATTCAAGGAGGATGGTGGTGATTAAGGGGGGGAGGTTATGAAAATGTTTACTTGGACGAAAAAAAAATTTTTTTTATCAGAAAAAAAAAAAACGGTGGCGTGATCGTAAAATATTTTATTGATCATTGATTATCTTGCAATACTTTTTCTATTTTGTTGTTGTTGTTGTTGTTGTCGTTGTTGATATTCGCCTAAAATCAAAACAAACATTTTCTTATCATTACTCGTCTCACGAAAAAAAAAAAACAATCTTATCAATCTTTTTTTTTTTTTTTTTTTTTTTTGTATCATCATCATTGACATATTAAACAAATGTAAAAATTTTTCCTTTGTTATTAAAAAAAATATTGTCCATTGAATATTATTTTGAATGTTTGTTTGTTCGTTTGTTTGTTTTTTAAGATTACAATCGGATTTATTCCGTTTGTTACCAAGGAAAAATCATAAATAATAATAATAATAGTAAAATTTTTTTCTCTTCTTCGATCCATCACCGAAATTATTCGAGATTTTAATTTCGTTTAAATTTTCTTTTTGAACTTAATAAATTTTTTAATAATTAATAAGTTAATAACAAACAAATAAGAATAATTATTAACTATGTACATAAACCGGAAATGTTAATTTAAAATAAAAACTGTTTGATTTCCCCTCTCCCCCTCCTCGATATTCTTCAATTTCGTAAATGTAAAGATTTTTATAAATCGTTAACGACGTTTAATAAAAATTTATTAATACATAAATAAAATAAAATAAAATATTTTCAAAATTATTAATCGTTTGTTTATTAAAAAAATAAAACGCACCGACTCATGCGCACATACATAATAATAATAATAATAATAATTAATAATTTTGTACTCGAATCAAAAAAAAAATTTTCTCTACTATAATTTTTTTTTTTTTTATTAAAAAAGTTAATAAAAGTTATTTCGATACATATATGCGCATTTATTTAAAATCTAATTAATAATAATAATAATAATAATAATAATAATAATAATAATAATAACTTATTAACTTAATCGATTCGTTAATTAAAAATACTTTTTTTTTTTTGCGTATTAAAAACTTTTACGACTTTATCACTTTTTTTTTTTTTTACTTTCCTTTATCACTTTTTAATTAAATTATCACAGATTCGTATTAATAAGACGTGAGTGAATGAAATCATTATCATCATCATCATCATCATTATTATCATCATCACAGATAAGTATTGAATAAGTTAATAGTGGGTTCGTAGAGTAAAGTATCCGCTTTGGTCCCCCAAAGATAATCCATGTGATTGAATTTAGGATGTTTGACTTTGAGTTTTCCGACAACGCTTTTAAGTCTCGATTCCAAATGTTTTAAATCCTAAAATGTCAATAACCTCTTATCAGTTATCACTGGAATTAACGTACATAATAATAATAATAATTAACATTCAAAAATATAATTTCCCGAGGGTGAATTATTTTATGGAGTTAATTCCTCTAATTTAATTTCTTTTTTTTCTTTTTGTGTGTGTTCGGATATTTTCATCGAAAAAATGACGTGGAAGTAGAATAAAAAAAAAACGTTGCGGTAGACTAAACGCAATTTTAGAAAAAAAAAAAAAAAAAAACGTTACACAATAATTTTGTAATAAATAAAAGAAGACGATTAATTAAAAAAAAAAAAATCCCATTCGAGGTTAGGTCAATTATGCAAAATAATAATGATAATAATAGTAAAAAAATAGGAAAAGTGGGAGGAGATAAAAAAGGAAATCCTATTTTCTATTTTCCTTTGTAAATAACTATAATTTTCCAATTCTGAAATCACGATACTTACGTTCTCGTCAACAATATAATCGTTTGAAGAATATGTTAAAAATATCGGAGCCGTAATATTTTCAATTTTATATTCCGGAGGTTCCGGTTTACCATAAATTTTCATATTATAAATTTTTCCATAATCGTATGGTCTAAATTTATCTGGAGAAAAAATGATAAGAGATATAATTTAATTTCGAATCTGGAAAAAAGCTTAAAAAAGGGGGAAAAAAAATACCGGAAACTGCAATTTGTATGTAATGTATGTACTCTTTTAAAGAACCGCCATCTGGAAAATGTGTCAAATACACGGGAAACATCGTCTGGAATAAAAAAGAAAAAAATCTGAAAAATTATCCAGTAATTATTAAGGATTTCTCAAAAAAAAAATATTAACCTGATTGAAAAGATCGTAATTGAATCCGACAACTAAAAAGAAAATTTTCGCACAAGTTTCCTTTGTCGGCGAATTATGACCGCAAAGTTGTTGTCTTAAAAGTAAAGTTTTACTATTGACTCCAGGCAACGCGATTGTGCTCAATACATTCGAATATTTCTGAAACCGGAAACGCATCAATTAAATAAATAATTTATATCACAGTGATAAAGAAATAAAAAAAATTTTTTTTTTTTTTATTTAAATCCTTGCCATAACTTCTCCAGCGGATTTCTTATTGAAAAATGTTTTCAAAACTGGACTTTTTGCATTTTTTATGTACGCCACTGGAGCGTATAAATTAAGCAAATGAAATTTTTCATTGAATTCCGGTCGTTCGGAAAGTAAAACGAGCGCCATTGTCGTACCTCTAGAATGTCCTACGTAAAATATTTTTTTTTGACCTGTTGACCCGATTATGTAATTCGTCATGGCGGCCAAATCGTAACATCCTTGTTCGTGAAAACTATATCGAAACGAAAAAAAAATATACGAACGTTCTATAAGATAAAAACAAATGATAATGAATGTTGATAACGAGTTCAAGGTTAAATAATAATAATAATAATTTAATCTCGCATTGAGGGGGAAATAATAATAATAATAATTATACTCATCTTGTGATGAGGTTCAAAGGTCACGATAAAAAATTTATTATTTTCCAGACTAAAACTTTACGAACCTGAAAAACTTTTTTTTCTTTTTTAACGAAATCCCTTATTCGAAAGGTAAATTATTATTATTATTATTATTATGTACCTGAAATTCCAGTATTTCCTATCGTCTGATGATAAAGTTTTGTGTTTTTGGGAATAACTATTCCCTCTCGAATCACCCAACCAAACATCGTAACCCGCATTCGATAAGAGAAAAGCTAAATTTAAAAAAAATAAAATTAATAATGAAGTCATAGAGTAAATAAACATTTTGTCGTTAGAATTTACTACGTACGTAAGGATTTAACACCGTTTAATACCCAATTATCGGATCTTCCACCGATGCCATGTTGGATTAATACCGCGGGTTTTTTTTTATTTTTCAAATCTTCAGTATCGGTTTTTTTACCGGTTATTCTATGTAATTTTAATATGTAACCGTCTTCCGTTGTTACACTATGAATTTCCGCTTTGTATTCATATTTTTCTGTAAAATCCGACTGGAAAAATATTACGAAAGATAATCATCATCATTATCATAATGATAAAAAACAATTTAATAAAAAATTATATCACGTATTCTTTTTTTTTTTTATGTTAAATTAAATACCCGGAAGTTGTCATAAAAACGCCATTTTGTTTTTAATATTTTTTTCATTGACCATAGGTTAATTTTTTTTTTGTTTGTTTGTTCGTTTGTTTGTTACCACTGTTGGAGAGTAATTTGAGAGAGGGGTGGAGATGATAGGGGATGGGGTGAAAATATAAAATCAATATTTAATGTAAATAATTCGAATTTAATTACGTCGGGAAAATAAGTCACGAAAACTCACAAATAAAAAAAATAAAAAACCCCCCGGGGAGAGGAGAGAGGAAAAGAGTGGGGGTGGGAGGAGGGAAAAACAAATTGTATGCAACTTGTCAACATACAAAAAACAACCGAAAGAGGAAATTTTTTTTTTTTTTCATAACCACAAAAAAAAAAAAATTTTCTTTAAGGTCGCGAAACTAATTCTAATTATTTAATTATTAACTTTCAAGTTATTATTATTATTATTATTATTATTTTAATCAAACCGACAGACAATCACAACAACAAAAACAACAACCGGATTGAAAATTTTTTTATAAAAAATTCTCATCAAATTTTTTATTTATTTTTCCCCTCCTTTAATTATTTAATTTAAAATTCAAAATTTAAACCTTGAACGAAATACACGTTCTTGTATTTATTATTATTATTATCATTATTATCATTATCATTATTATTATTAATATAATTATCTAAATAAGACAAACTTTTTCCGCTGTCGGAATTTAATTCTCCTAATTAAATTACATCTAAAATCTATTTTTAAAAACAAAAATATTAATAATAATAACAATAAATAGTTAGAACTTTTTTTAAAACAACGCCATTAACAAATTATTAATAATAATAATAATAATAATAAAACATCGATGTTAAACAATTTTTTTTGTTTCGTTTGTTTCTGCAATAACCGAAAACCCCGAATTCGTTTGTCGTTCCTCGTTGGGTTTATTTATTTTTTTCACGCGAATTTCAGGGCCTTATTTATAAAAAAAAAAAGGCCTCTGGAAACGCTTTTTCTCCCCCCTCCTCTCTCTTCGAAAACCGTCTGGATCGTGCTTCGTGACGTCACTTAAAAAATTAATAAGTAAAATTATCCAAATCGAATATAAAACCCCGACACTATCCAATTATTTATTTTTAACGTTAACGTTATATGTATTCAGTAATAATAATAATAATAATAATAATAACTTATAATTAATAATAATATTAATAATAATAATTAATAATAACAATAATAATAATAATTTTACCCATCAACGGTCATGGTACTATAATTTAAAATCGAAATATTATTATTATTATTAATTCTTCCGGTTTCCGTCGTTTTCTATCACCTTCCGCTCCTTGTTTTTATTCCTTTTTTTTCAATACTTTCTTCATCGAAAACCATCAATCGATTATTTATTTATTAATTAATTTTCATTATTATTATTTAAACGAGTAATAAAAAAAAAAAAACGTTTATTATGTATTGTAAGGGTTAGTGTGACAATGTGAATCGGTATGCGTATGCATCGTCGTTCTATGTCAAGGACGGTAATTAATTATTATTATTATTATTACTCGTTTTAAAAGTAATTTTTTTTTTGTAACGTAAAAAAAAGTTTTCGTTGTTTTTACCGTGAACCTTTTTTGTTTTTCTTTACAGAACGAAAGATTTCCTATTTTTTCATCGTATAAAAATTCGAGTAATAAAAAAAAAAAAATAATAATAAGTATTTATTAAAAAAAATTTATTACTTTATTTATTTATTAATAAAACAACAACGACGACAAAAACGACAAATAAAAAGTAATAACCGTTAAATTGAATCATTTGTAAAAAAAAAAAAAATAATAATGATAATGATTTACGTCGTACGTTATTATTACCAATGATAATAATAATAATGGTAATAAATCAATAATAATAATAATAATAATAATAATAATAATAATAATGTCATTAATTAAATATAAATAAATAAATTTTTTAATATTATTATTATTATTGAGATTCATTATCATCGTCTTTCACGTAACGACTTATGGCAATTAAATTTTTTCTATTTTTTTAATAATTCGCGAAATGGTAACAAATTAATGAGTGATAAGAAGAAGAAAAAGAAAATTTTATTACTTTATTATTACCCACCGTGAAAATTTTTTTAACACTCACCGTTTTTTTCAATATGTCCGACAATTCCGTAGAGGATCTCCTTGGAAGTTTTCTCGTTTTGTAAATTAATCCATCCGACGAACAAAATTTTAAAAGGTATAAGAAAATTATTGATGACGTCACGACGGAAAATTTCATTTTGTAACGATTATTATTATTATTATTATTATTATTACTCTTAATTAAACGGAAAATCGGAAATTATTTAAACTTTTGTTTAATTGGTTTCTATATGAAAACATCTGTGTAAAAAAATAAATAAATAAATAATTAATTACTTTTATTAATACCGTAATTTTGTAAGGTATAATTTAATAAATTTATTTATTAATAATTTTTTTATTTGTACTCTTATGTAAATAAAATAAAGAATTAGAAAACGAGCATTTATTAATTAATTAATTAATTAAAACGAACATTGTCGTGCGACAAAATTATATTTAATTAAAATAACAAAAAATTTATTTATTTATTTATTTTTTATTTTTTTTTATCACCGTATAATAATCTTATGTAATTAATGATGACGTCATAAAAAAGTAATAATAATAAAAGCGTATCACGATAAAGGAAAAATGGTAATGAAAAATTTTCCAATTCGTTTTCCTTTTCCTTTTATTCGACTATTTTCGAATTAAAAAAAAATAAAAAAAAATTTCTCGTTATTTATTTATTATTATTATTATTATTATTATTATTACGCGTAATTAATTAACTAATTTAAATGTAATGCAAATAAAATTTAAAATAGGGTAATAAAAACAATCGAAAATTTAAAAAAAAAAAAGAAAATTTTTAACGATTTGTGACAGTGATATTGATTTGAAGTCATCGCATAATCAAATTAATGAACGAAATTTTGCAAAAATCCAATTACAAATTAAAAAAAGAATAATTAAACAAACAGACAAACAAACAAACAACAAACGAACAAACAAACAAACAAACGAACAAATCAAAAAAAAAATAATTAAAAACAAACGAATAAAAAATTTTTCGACGAGGAAAAAAAACAAAAAATTACTAACGAAAATAAAAGAAAAGAAAAATAAATTATTTTTTAAAAAAATTTTCGCGGTAAAAAAAAATAGCGGGAAAATTTAAATTCAAAATTTAAAAAAAAACTGACCGTTAAAAAAAAAAATTACAAAATCGTCGAACAAAACGAATAATAGCACACTTCGGAAAATATTATCCGAAAAATTGTTAACGATTTTTCTTATAGAAAAAATAATAATAATAATAAAATGTCTTCTGCTAGAGGTTTTTTTTTTCGAAAAAAAAATTTTCTTTAGAACTCGCACAAGATTGACTTACCAACTAACTGATAGTAAATAATCCAAGTTTTTTAAACTTATGAACGTCGTGAAAAATTTATTTCCGCGACGTCTTTGTCAAAAAATTAACGGCTGAAAAGAAAAAAAAAAAAAAGAAAATGGCTACCTTGATGGTCCTAGTGAAGAACGTTAGAAAAATAAATAAATAAATAAATAACGTTGGGGGGCAACGTGATATAAAGAGAGAGGGGGCAAACAATTATCAAGAGGCTGGGCAAAAATTTTAATTTTTTTTTTTCTTTCTGTCTATTAATAATAATAATAATAATATTACCCGTTGATAATAATACCAAATTATCATTATTATTATTATTATTATCATTATTAATAATTTTTTTTTTTATTACCGTTTGCGTAATTTTCCCGGTTTTTTTTTTCGTTAAGGTCACGTTTGTTTTTTAAAGAATTATTATTGAGAGACAGATGAATATGAAAATATCACGTTTTTATACAGCAGACGACAGAAAAAAAAAATTATTTTTTTCATTGACGATTTTTAATGACTTTTAAAATTGACCTCCCCTGCTCCCTCCCCCTTTCCCGTTAACCCTTTTCCTTTCTCTCTTTTTTTTTTATTTGTTTTTAAATTCGACAAAAAAAGGAAAAAATTTTTTTTTTTTTTCAAATTTTTACCCGGGGCCTAAAATTTTTTTTTTTTGCATTCAAGGTTAATTCATTCTAAAATGTATAAAAAAAGAAAAAAAAGAAAAAATTCTTCTGCCACGCCTTTTTCTATCATTCTATCCTTCAAAAAAATTGAAAAAAAAAAAATCTTCTTATGGTTATATTTAATTATTTAAATTTTTTTTACCGTTCACTCCTTTTCCGTTTTTTTTTTTTTTAACCGTTTTAATATTTTTTTTTTGTCGTGGTATTAGCCTTCAATTTCATTAAAACGTTTCGTTAATTAAAACTGCATACAAATCCCAATCGATTTTCGCAATAAAAAAAAAAACAAACTCAATCTATTACGATTTATCATTTTAAAAATTTTCCTTCTTTTTTTTAAAATAAATTTTCCCGCCAAAAAAAAATAAAATTTAATTTTTTTTATACGTTTTAATTTTTTTTTTTTGTCGCAATAAAAAAGAAAATTTTTGTTGTAATTTTCGTAATTTTTCTTTTAAATTAAAAGTTAAGTTTAAGGTTTCTTCTGACACGATTTTTTGCTTTTTTTTTTCATTACCTCGACAACCTATTTAATTATGTCGTATACGCAATAAACATTTTACACGACACAAAAAAGTGACAATAAAATTATTTAACGTTTCGGTTATTATTATTATTATTATTTTCACTTTTTAATCACGACGAATTTGTTTTTTTTTTTTGGAGGAATTTTTCTCATTCCAGATTTTTGTGCTAAAAGTCCTAAAATATCGATGGTTGCTTTGATACCACGGCTATTGGTGGCCTGGATGACTGACTCCCTTTTACATCCTGGATATTCCCATATTTCGTTTCTGTTTTTTGTCTGCGATACTTTTTTCCGACGGTACGCGTCCTTCAATTAGTTTATTGAGTTTGTCGGGTAGCACCCATTTCCGTTTATCAATATCGAACAACCGGAAGTCAAATAATCGTCAATTTTCAACTATCCATAACAATTTCTAACAATTTTCATTTCTAACAATTTATAACTTTTGTACCTTTTCGCAATTGTGGTCCTGCCTGTGCAGTTTAATTTCAGGTTTTAAGTTTTCAGGTTTCATTTCTTTTATTATCATTATTATTTTTACCCGTGCAATGGTTTCAGTCATTCAATTGAATTGTTTAAATATAATTTTTTAAATAAAAAACAGCCGATCGTAGTATAGAAAATCATCGTACCTGGCACCGAATGGTATTAAATCGTTTGGAAATAATAATTATAATAATAATAATAATAATAATGATAATGATAATTATTAATTAAAGAGAATCCATATTTAATACGAAATAGCGATTCGAAGCATTTTTTTTTCACTTCAATTCATAAAAATATTTTTTTTTTTTGTTTATCAAATCCGGAGAATTTTCCAGAAGAAACTTATCGAATCGACACTTTTTTAACACAACAAACATATACAACCACTCGTAACAACCAACAACATGATAAGAAAAAAAAATACGCATGATTATATGCGTAAACAACTTGTGTAATACCGATTTAACACAACAACCGGTAGTTTTATAAATAAAAATAACCAAAGTGATACCTGTCGATTGTTTCGTTACATCAGTTGTTTGTTTGTTATTTAAAAAAAAAAAAATTCCGTTGAAAAAAAAGCAACACAACAAGAAAATTGTAAAAAAACATTAGTAAAAATTTAAATAAATGAATTCTTACCTGTTGTCGTTTGTTTGTTTGTTTGTTTTTTTTATTACAACCTAAGTTATAATTTTCCGACGTGAAAATTTTTTTTTTTCAAATTTAAAATTTTGCGCATTCGAATGATTACTAAAAAAAAAATTACATTCTTATAACTACGTCATAAAATTTTATATATCGCACAATTAAAATCGATGCAAAAAAAACATAAAAAAAACATAAAAACACAAAAAACACACAAAACACAAAAAAACAAAAACTTAAAAATAAATTTTATATAATTTTCCTTTCTTATCAATTTGAAAAAAAAACAATAACGATTTTCTTTTTAATTTTTTTTTTTATTGAGCTTTTCAAATGAATCACATTTACAAAATAAACCGATCAAAACTATCAATCAATCAATCAATCAATCAATAATTAATTAATTAATTTTCTTTTGTTTCGTTCGAATTTTTACTTCCATGAAATTTGCAAACTGTAATAAAAAAAAAATGAAAAATGAAAAAAATTTTTTTTTTTCTATTTAAAACCGCGTAAATTTTCACGTTTCAATTATTTTCTTATCATTATTATTATTATTATTATTATTTTATTTCATAATCATCATCATTATCATCGCGTAGTTTTTATTTAAAAAAAAAAAATAAAATAATAATTTTATTTGTTTAAAAGTAAAAGAAAAAAAAAATTTTCTTTTTTCTTAAATCTTTTCCTCATGTTTTCTTTCAAACGAACTCGACGCCATTTTGTAGACGACGCCATTTTGAAAATGGCGTCGTCTTTTTTGTGACGTCATTTTATTTTTCTCAAAATTTACGATGATTATTATTATTTTTAAAAACAAATCGTGCAAAATCTTTTTGAAAAACGATAATAAAAAAAAAAAAAAAAATTAAGTAATAAAAATTTTTCCGAAACGATTTTTCCGAAGAAAATGGTCGCGTTTTTGATAACTCTTATCACTTGTTTTAACTCCTAAAAATTTTAAATTATACTTTTTTCAATACAATTTCTCACGTTGCTTACGTATTATTATTTAAAAAAATTTTAACGGTTTACGTAAAAATTTATTAATCTATCGATTGGATAATCCATCGAACTCGCGTTGAGTAATCATTAATTATTAATTATATCAAATCCATAAGATAAACATAAAAATTTTTTCATGCTCTTATTATTATTATTATTATTATTATTTAAACCAAAAAAAAAAAAAAATAAGTTTAACGTTTTTATTATTACGGTTAAATAAAAAAAAAAAAAACAAAACCGGCGCGTGACGTAATCAATAATATTTATCGGCATGTTTTAATCGCAAAATTTTTTAAATTTATTATTGTCATTATTAATAGTATCATTATCATCATCATTTTAAAATTAATAAATTTTCCACTTTTAATAAATATATTTTTACATTTACCCCACGACATTTCTAATTACACGACTTAAATTATAAAAATTATCCCAAAAAAAAAAAAAAAATATAGAGAATTATTGTCACGTGATTAAATTTTAATAAATGTATTATTTTTTCCATAAAATCCCTTCCGATTAATTAATTACGTAATCAATTAATTTTTATTAAGAAAAAAAACACATATTAATAATAATAATAACAGCATTAAATTATTTAAAAAGAAGAAAAAGAAAAAACCGTTGAAATCTTATTAATTTTAATTTATTTAAAAAAACTTATAATAAATAAATACATAAATAATTGATTGAAAAAAAAAAATAAAGTACGATTATTGATAATAATAATAATATAATAGATATACATAAGTACTTATTAAAAAAATTTTATACGTTTGGTTTATATCACAAAATAATTGATGACCCAGAATACGACGAGATCGTATTCAAATTAATTAATTAATAAATTTAAATTTTTCTATTGAAAACATTTTAAATAATAATAATAATAATAATAATAATACTGTTGGCGGTTGTGAGACGAAGCAAAAACCGATTTAAATAAGAGTAGAAGTATGGAATAAATATTTATTACGGGGTAATTTTTTTTTTAGTCCATTTGGTCACTGTATGAAATATTTCTCTTCGTTGTTGTATAAGTTAAGTAAATGAATTATGTGTGGGAAAAAAAGATCGTTTGCATTATTGGCAAATATGTAATCTATGTGATTAAATTTATTATAAGGTATTTTATAATATCCGATAAAATTCGGTAATTCTCGTGCAAATTTAAACAAATCCTAGAAGAAAAAAAAAAAAAAAACGTTAAATAAATAAATAAATTTTCGAATGAATGAATGAATTATTATTATCATTATTACCCTTTCGCTAACGAAAAAATCATTGGGTCCGTAATATAAAAACACCGGCGTTGTTATTTTCGTCAAATTGTAAGGTTCCGGCATTGTTTTACCATAATATTTAATATTTAATTGTCTTCCATAATCGAACGGACGAAACACATCTATAAATAAATTCGCGTGTGAGAGAGAGAGAGAGTAATAAAAGGTAATAAGTAAAATTACCAGATTCGGATATTTGAAGAAGGTGTATTAATTCTTTACCACCTACACCCAACGTGAAATGTGAGAGCATCATAGGCATCAAAGACTGTAAAAAAAATTTAATAAAATTATTTATTTATTTATTAATGTAGTGATGATGATAATAATAATATTACCTTGTTAAACATTTGAAAATCTTCACCGTTGATGAAAAACGACATCGATAAGCAAAGATTTTGTAATATCGGACTCGTTTTACATAGAGAATTTATCATTAATCTCGTTGTTTTTGTCGTCGAAAGCACATTACGAACTTTTCCTTTTCGAAATATTTCCTGGAGTCGTCGTATAATTTTAATAATAATAATAATATTATTAAAACAAAAGAAAAGCAAATTATTACCTGTAGAGTGGAGACTCTCATGATAGCATTAGGACGATTTCCGGCAAATTCGTAAATGATGCATTTTGCTTCTTTCGAATAAATAACCGGTGCGATGCCGACAAATAAATTTATTTTAGAATTATATTCCGGTTGTGACGACAGCAAAATAACCGCCATTGCCACACCACGAGAATGACCCACGTATGTGAGATGAGATTTTTTCGTTACTTGTAATACGTAATCTATAATTGCCGGTAAATCAATGTTACCCAATTCGTCTAAACTAAAATACAAAATTTTTTTTTTGTTTTATTAATTAAAAAAATTTTTCGCGTGGAATTTATTTTTTATTTTGCCCCCCCCCCCCATACCTGTAATCCCAAAATTTATAATCGTTCATCGAATAATAAATATGTCTCGAATAAGGAGTACCTCTTGTGTTACTCATCCAAACATCATATCCTTGTTTCGACAATTGAAAAACTAAAAAAAAAATTATTAAAGTCATACGTCGCTTAGTATTATTATTATTATTATTAAAATTAATCTCACCAAGGTCTTGAGTACCACGAAGAACCCATTGATCAGATGATAAAACAATACCGTGTTGTAACAATACCACAGGTCTGTTTGCGTTCAAATTTGTACCGTTATGTGGTATCCTGTGGAGTGTTAATATGTATCCATCTTTTGTTTGAATCTCATGCATTTCTCCAGGGTAGCCATATTTCATTATAAAATCAACCTGTAAACATAACCATGTTAACGAAACAATAAAAACCGATCTCAAACTATTCCTTATTTAAAACGGATGAAACAAACATAAACCAAACATTAGGGAAGTTAAAGACGACGACAACAACAATCGTAGTAATAATTTTTGGAAACAAACAAACAAAATCACTGTTTGTTAATCTATGACATTTTTAATAACAAAACGTAAAAAAAAAAAGGAAAACTTACCGTAAGTTTTTGCGAATCAGGTATTCTATTGACGTTATCAATCGAACGTGAAATTTGTAATTGTTCGCTCGCGTTTAATAAACACATAAAAAAAATTAATAAAAAAAACATTTTGACTTGGAACATTAATAACATACTTTTAATTAATAATAATAATAACACGCGAATACACAAACTTTACCTAAAAATTTTAAACTTTCATCTTTACATAAATAAATAAATAAATAAATAAATAAAGCTTCGAAGAATTTATTAAATAGGCCAATGTCTTTAACTTGCTGGGTGATCAACTTTATTTTGCCTAACAATTTTTCTTTTTATAAATAAACCATCGGAAAAATATCTTTAAAAATTTTTTTTCTTATATATAAACCTTGATTTTTTTTTGTTAATTTTACCTCGAAATATACTAAGAAAAAATTAAATAATAATGATGATAATAAGTCTTTGTATATATTAAATTTTTGCGTGTGAAAAATTCCTTTTTTTTACCGAAATCGATACCTGTCGGTAATTTTTTTTTCTATTTTTTTTTTTTCCCAAACTAGTGATTAAATTATTTTAATTACGATCGTCTGCGTTGTCTGCTTTGTCCTAGTCGTCGACAAAAAAAAATCCAGGTAAAAAAAAATGTAAAATAACGTGAACGTCGAACCTGGAAAAATTTATTAAAAACAAAATATAAAAACATTAATGACGTCATAATTAAAAATCACGTGGTAGTATGAACTTTAAATATGGAAGAGATTAAATGATTTTACTTTCACCCTTGTTATATCTTTAAATGGTTTTTTAAGGGCGGATCGGGCGTGTCCCTCTTTTTGTTTGTTTTTTTTTTTTATTATTCTTAAATATTATTAGTTCATGGTAAATTTTTTTTCTTTTTTTTTTTCATCCTCCGACATCTTTTAAAAATGATGTCACGAAAAAAAAATTTTTTATATTGATTTATTTAACGGATGAATCCGCGTACATGTTTGCAGACGATTTTTTTTTTTTTTTCAAGTATAAGGTCCAAATAACAATCGATTGTAATTAAACATAGATGAATATGATTAATGCCCTAAAAACATTTTTAACTAAATAAGATATCAACTATCAATTTACTAATAAATAAACAAACAGGTTTTTAGTTTTAGGCAATATGCGCCAAATTTTTTTTTTTTTTTTAAAATATCCCTTGACATAGTTTTTTTTTAAAGCCGGAAATAAATTTTATATACACATATATCGATGATGATGATAATGAAAAAAAAAATTCGGAAAAGAAACAGGTTACGTTTTTCTTTTTTTCCGGTGAAAATAAAAATTATATTATGTGACATTATTGACGAAATTTCCTTTTTATTTCAAGGTTTAACCCGAAATTATTAATATTTAACCTTGTTTCAAAATTTGCTTTTAACTTAACTTAAAAAAAAAAAATGGCGGCGACGGAGTAAAAAAATAACGTCGAAAAAAAATTTCATTAAAATTTAACGTCAAACAAATTTTCTTTTATTATTATATTGATTTTTTTTTTTTTTTTTTTACAAAGGACCGGACGTGATTACAATTGTAATTATTAACCTTGAATTATTATTATTATTATTATTACTAGTTGTTTTTGTACTTTAATAACGTATGTATATAAATTTTAAACCGACATTAATCATAACCGACCGAGTTTAATTGATTTTTTTTTTTTTTGTGTTGTTGAAAATCGATAATAATTCGATTGTTTTCGTGTTGCGGATGAACCGAAACAAAATTAAAAACAAAAAAAAATATCAAAAAACCAAACATCATCTCAAACATGTTTTCGATATGAAAAGAAACAAATTGCGTATTTTTTTTTATTTTTTAAAATATTATTTTTAAATGTGCTGTAATTGTTTTTAAAAGCATAAAAATTTTTAAAACAATCGTAAAAATATACTAAAAAAAAAAAAAAAAACACAATAATGACTTTGTACGCAATATAAAATTTCAACCACATCACCATTAAATCCTATCACTATTATCATCATCATCATTAATTTTAAAAAATATTTGATATAAATATGAATTATATATACTGAATTTTGTGTGTTGCAAGTTGTGATTGTATTATTCATTAATAAGTTATTAAATTAAAATAAAATATTAAAAATTTACTTACAGTATAAAAAAAATATATATGTGTGCAACTATTACCTTTACTACACTACAATAAAATAATCACAATACAATACAATATAAAATTAATTTATTTTTCTTTATATATATATATATATAAGGCCATAAAAATTTTTTTTTTTTTTATATTCTAAAATAAGTAGTATATGTAAAGAAAACAAAAAAAAATTATTATTGTCAGGCACTTGTTGTTGTTGTTGTATTTGTGTTTATTCTTTTATTAAGCTTAAATTATCTTCCGCGTTCAATATTCAATAAATTGTATGACAAATTATTTGTTAAAGTATTTGATTAGTTTTTGTGTGTGTGTCTATGTACGTTGTTGTCAAGGTCATATTAAATGCTTTAAATTAAGCTTTGAAAAAAAAAATAGCAAAACAATCAATTTGATCCATCATACATATATATATATATATATATATATATATATAATTTTATAAATAAAAAAAAAATTTATCTATTTATTCATTAATCTTTTCTGTTTGTACCTTATAAAAGTTTTAAATATCCTTAATTTAGAATTTAATAAAGTTTTCTGTTAGTGTAAATATATTATAATGTGATGATGTTTTTCAAAATGTTTTCAACCACCATATTGTTAATAAGTAACAAAAAAAACATTTTAAATAATAATTATTAAATAACGGATAGTATTTTTAAAAGAAAGAAAGAAAAAAAACAAAACATAAAATATAAATTAATTTACCCAATGTTATATTTATCAAATGGAAGAAAAAATTTAACAATTTTAAAAAGAACAATATTACTTTTCTGTTTAAGTAGTTGTTACCATTTTAACCGTTAAACGTTCGTGGAAAAATTACACACTTCGCGCCAAAACTAAAAAAAATCGTGTCAATAGTATTAGAAAGTTTTAACTTAAGGTTTTTGCAATTCTTTTCGCGTTGTTTAGTGATTTTAATTAAAAATTAGTGTATAAAAATATATATAAATAATGTTTTAATAAA